ATCTTTATTACAGATACCCTCCTCCAAGAATCAGGGAACATTGTGGAACAGAAAGCAGAAAGAAAACTGAAAGGGCCTGATGTTAGGGAAGAGTGCTGTGAATGGCTGTCTTCAGGACAAGACATGGCTGCCACATTCATTAGCTCCCAACAACTTTGGGTAACTACAAAAGTCTTAATCAGACAAAATTCCCTTGTTATGAGCTGATGATTTCCAGGGCCACATGTCTTCCTAGCAAGTTATTAGCAGCTCATAGCTGCTGGATAGATAGTATCAAAGTGGCCACTGGTACGATTCCTATGAGCCAAGGTTTCTCCCCACATCCATACATATAAGGTATTTACTGGGATTCATGAGTTATCAAAGCAAACAAATAAAATGGAGACAAAGTTAGTCAGGAGACAGGGGTACTGAGGAGGATATGGAAGGAATTTCAGGGGAGAAGTTGGGATGTATATAATCAGATGTCATTGCATAGATGTGTGAATTTCTCAAAGAATAAAAATACATTAGAAAATAGAACAACCAACAATACATGTTAATATTGTTTAAACCTTGTGAATAAATAATACTTTTAGTTTAAAATTGAATAAATATTTAATTTAAAAAAATGAACCCACCACAATATAAACCAGAGTATGATGCTTTAAAGAATAACCAGTGTGAAACTGCGACAGAATATGAAACTTGAAGTTCAAACTTGAGTAGCTAATATATGACAAGGTGGTTTCATCAAGCATGAGGGGGCACTGAACATTTAGTAGACCCTGTCAGGTAGTGTAATTTATTCTGGTCAGGGAAGAGACTGGATCATGGCTTATTTTAATATCACAAATAAGAAACAAGTCTTGATTTATTCAGTATCAAAATGTGAATGTAAAACTTTAATGTTTGTGGGAAAAACATATTACATTAAACAAAACAAAACAAAACAAAACAAAACCCTATGACTGTTGTTTTCTTAAACTATGAGAAGCTCAAACACCAACTGTGATGGTTCGAAAGAAAAACACCACAGACTCATATGTTTGTATACTTGGTCACCAGTTAGTGGAACTGATTGGAAAAATTAGGAGGCATGGCCTTGTTGGAGGAGGTGTGTTCTGATGGTAGACTTTGGAGTTTTAAAAGATTTATGCTCAGAAGATGCTCCAACATATAACAAGGACACATGCTCCACTACATTCATAGTGGCCTTATTTATAATGGCCAGAAGCTGGAAAGAATCCAACAGAGAAATGGATACAGAAAATGTGATTCATTTACATAATGGAGTACTACTCAGCTATTAAAAACAATGACTTCATGAAATTCTTAGGTAAATGGATGGAACTGAGTGCGGTAACCCAACCACAAAAGAACACACATGGTATGCACACACTGATAAGTGAATATTAGCCCAAATGCTTGGAATACCTAAGATACAACTCACAGATCACATAAAGCTCAAGAAGATAGAAGACCAAAGTGTGGGTGCTTTGATCCTTCTTAGAAAAGGGAACAAAATACTCATGGGAGCAAATACAGAGACAAAGTGTGAAGCAGTGACTGAGGGAAAGGCCAGCCAGAGACTGCCCCACCTGGGGATCCATCCCATATACAGTCACCAAACCCAGACACTATTGTGGATGCCAAGAAGTGCATGCTGAGAGGAGCCTGATATAGCTGTCTCTTGAGAGGCTCTGCCAGAGCCTGACAAATACAGAGGTGGATGCTCTCAGCCAACCATTGTACTGAGTAAGGAGTCCCCAATGGAGGAGTTAGAGAAAGGACTGAAGGAGCAGAAGAGAGTTGCAACCCCATGGAAGAACAACAATATCAACCAATCAGACCCCCCAGAACTTCCAGGGACTAAACCTCCAACCAAGGAGTACACATGGAGGGACCCATGGCTTCAGTTGCATATGTAGCAAAAGATGGCCTTCTCAGGCATCAATGGGAGGAGAGGCCCTTGGTCCTGTGAAGGCTCAATGCCCCAGTGTAGGAGAATGCCAGGGAGGTGAGGCAGGAGTGGGTGGGTAGGGGAACACCCTCATAGAAGCAGGAGAGAGCGGATGGGACAAGGGTCTCGGGGGAGAGGGTTGGAAAGGGGATAAGATTTGAAATGTAAACAAAGAAAATATCCAATAATAATTTTTTTAAGAATGAAATTGCAAGTTTATTTGAGAGTATATCCAATAATAATTAAAAAAGATTTGTGCCATTTCTTTACTGTCTGTTTCTGTTTCAGTCTTTCTCTCTCTCTCTCTCTCTCTCTCTCTCTCTCTCTCTCTCTCTCTCTGTCCAGCTTGAGGATCAAGATGTAAGCTCTTATCTATTCCTGTTGCCATGCCTTTGTTTCACCAACATGGGCTTTAAGTCTCTGAAACCATAAGCCCCAATTAAACACTTTCTTTGATACACTGCCTTGGTCATGGAGTTTTATCACAGCAATCAAACATTAACTAAGAGACACAGATATAAGACAGAAATGACTGCTAGATTGATAATAATGAATTTAGATGTTTCTTTTGACCATTAATTAAGAAATCTGGGTAACACTTATAATTCTATGACAAAGAGATTTTTTGCAATGCCCCAAATGGAATTTATTAATTTATCAGATACGCAGGATTACCATGAGAAAAAAATGACCTCATTTTAAAAATAGAGCACATGAGCAATTTAGACTAAAGATAGAAGAAATTCTTGTACTCATAACACCATGTGCTAAGACTGGTCACTGGTAACCTGATGAAATCAAAAGCAAGATGGTATTGTCCATGTTGGGGCAAGCAAAAGAACTCAATAATACAATGTTGGGAGGAATGTGGGGGTGTGACCTTCAAATGTCAGAGAATGATTTGTTTACACTTCAATACTTAATCACACACACATACACATACTTGGACATGTAAAATTGAGGCTGTCTTCTTCCTCCCAACCCCATGCTCCCAATAATAAGACTTAGACTCAAAATATATTTACAAACACCTTGGCCATATAGCTAGACTCTTCTCTGACTAGGTCATAACTAAAATAACCCAATTATTTTAACCTACACTTTGCCACATGGCTAGTTATCTGTGCTCAGGTACATGTGTCCATTTCATCACACCTTCTCAGGCAAATCTTCCGGCACCTTGCTCTATCTCAGAATCCTTTCTGCCTCCTGGATGCTCCACCTTCTATTTCCTGCCTAAGCCATAGGCCATAGGTTTTTAAATTGAGAGGTGATGCATCCATACAATACACAAGATATTTTCTCAACATGCACATGAGAAATTAGAGATCAAGCACAAAGATGGAAGTATATTTGCAACACAGAGAATAAACAAAATAATTATCTGAACATATAAAATTAAAAGGAAAATAAAGAGAGAAACAATTGAATCAAAATGATTATTGTAACTACTAGACTGTTTCCAGAGAGTGGATTGCTAATGAAGCCATGCAAATGCAAAGGTACTCAAGCTCCGCAGTAATCAGAGATGCAAAACTAAAGCCTAATGAATACCAGAAATACAAAGATTAAAAATGCAAACATCCTTGGTGGGAAAAGTGAAAAAAAGCAGCCATAGTTTTCTCCATGAAGCAGGAATTGGTGCAGCTTTGGAAGATACTGTTTATTACTCTAGAGATCCCACATGCACAAAGCCTGCACAAGGTCCTTTCCAACTCAACACACATATATGAATAGACATATTCTAAAGGTTTAAAATTTATCTCTGTGTGTCCATGTATGTGTACACATAAGTGTATCAAGATACCAGAAGTCACACCAAATCTTCTGTAGCTGGAGTTACAGGTAGCTGTAAGCTGCCCAAAGTGGGTACTGGAAATTGAACTCCAGTCCTCTGGAAGAGCAAGTGCTTTCAACTGCTGACCCACCTCTCAAGTGCTGACATATTTCAGAACATTCAAAACAGTATTGTTAACGAGAGCTAAAATATGAACAAGTATCCATCAAAAGTACATAGGATAAAGAATGTACATTTATATGTCAATGTACATTTCTGTATTGTAATATTGTCTAACAATGGAAGAAACTTCAAATACTTGACATCAATATTGAATAGCTCCCATAACATAAGGAGATAAGCAAATCACAGAAAAATATAAGCATTAAATCTATTTAACATAAAACAAGACAAATTGAACAGTAATGTACTTTGGAAATGCAACCGAGTAATGGAGTAATGGAGTAATGGAGGTCATTACAGGGTTTACTACCAGGGAAAAGCTGGTAAGGCAATGCTCAGGGCAGTCTTTTTTTTTTTTTTTTTTTGGCTCAATAACATCCTGTTTCTCAATTGGGTGATAAAATCACAGGTACTCTCCCCTCCATTGTTAGAACTTGCTCTATAGTTAATATGTTAAAGTAACTTTAACATGGACTTTAACTAAACAATCTTTTCGGTTCTTTTTGCCTTTGCAGATCTATAGCTAGGCTCCTCTTTTACTGAGAGTTCAGTCTGGACAACAGGCATTGAGATTTGCGTAGTGGTGAACTAGACAGGAAATCCTGAAAGGAAATAGGAGCACACTAACAGAATCACAAACCAAGTGACTAATAAGAGGACCATAATGGTGATTCCAGATGGCATCTGCGATTTTACTTGATAGATCCTGGGTTTCAGCCCTATTTTTGCCTTTGTCTTGGGCGATAATTCCCTATTTCTTATATTGCTTTTGTGAACTGCATCATAAGATTCAAACTCAAGGAAGATTACCAATTATAGAATAGTTTGGAAAACTGGAAGCCACAGGTTGTTGACACACTTTTCATGGTGCCATCACCGCTTTGGAAACCAGGGTTCTCAGCTCTGAACTGAGGGCCATAACACAGCTGTTCCCTTTCAAGGATTTGCACTCACAGCTTGACATCACAGAAGAGCCGCCCCACCCCACCCGCCGAAGCCCCGCCCACCACAATCTGGTCCCCGCCCTCTGCTTCTTGCTCTGGAGTGCCCCGCCTCGGCGTGGCTCTTCCGGCCCCGCCCCTCCATGCTGCCATGACAACGAGTCCGCGCCCCGAGCTCAGCTGCTGTTCGGGCGGGACCCAGGCTGGACCGCGGGCCCCGGCCTGGGGGCCACAGCTGCCACCTCCGCCGCCACCTCATCTCCTCCCCGTCCCCGTCCCGCCCCGCGTCTTCCCGCCGTAGTCGGGCCGGAGGCCGGGGTCCCTCCCCGCCGCCCCACCCTGCGCGGATGCCGAAGGTGAAGGCGCTGCAATGCGCCCTGGCGCTGGAGATCCGCTCTGTGAGTACCGGCCCTATCCCGCCTCAGCCTCCAAGTCCGCCGCCCGCCCCCGGCCCTGGGACCTCTAGAAATCTCCAGTGCCTTCCCACTCCAGCCTCGCGGGGCCCTCACCCCAACTTCCAGTTGGGGTGCTTTCGGGTCTTTTCCACACCACTTCTGAGTTCCGCTCCCTGGGCAGTAGTTCCCTTTGAATTCCTCTTTACTCCTCTTCTGGTGACCGACTCCTGAACTCTTGCTCCAGTTCAGGCTTTCAGATCCTTCCCAAGCTTCCAGTTAGAGTAGGAAAGCCGTTTCAGTCATGGTGGAGTCTCTAACTCCAAAAACAATTTGCTTGTGACGTCATTGCACAAAGTTTTCTTAGTTTCTCCTCTCAGAACAAACCCAACTCCTCAGAAGCCACTTCAGCTCTTCCCTCCAGTACCCAAACACTCCTGACTTTGCATCCTTCCAATTCTCCCAAGAAAGACCTGGTCAGCTCTTCCGGACAGCTGCTACTCAGTTACTCTCAACATTCTTGGAAGAGGACTCTGTCCAGCCTCCTTCAGTAAATCTAACTGAGGTGGGGAGCCCCACCTGCCCTCCAGTGAGAGGCTGAGGTCTTTCCAGGCGTTGAGAAGCCCCCACTCCTTTGATAACTACAGAGTCTCCTTCTGAGATTTTGGAAGTCCTTCAACGTCATTCCCAAGAGACCCCTCTTCTCCCCTTAGAGGAGAACTCAGCATTCTAGGAGAACCTCTTCAGTTTCTTAGTCCACGCCTTTATCCTTGATGTGCTCTCATTAAGGCTTAGCCTACTTGTTAACATCACAGCATAAGTAGGGATAACAGTACACGTTCCCTGTCATTTTCTGGGCCTGCCCCAAGGGCCTTCTGTCATTGTTTTTCCTGTTGGCCTCCACACTGAGCCTTTCTCAGCACTTGCCCACACTTGCAGCACTCACTTCTCTCTGGCCTTCCGCTCCTCTCCTTGAGGCCACACAGCACCCGCATTGAACTTAAACCCTCATAGAAGACACAGAATTCTTTCCGGTCTTTTGTTCAGTCTTAAGGAGAAGCTTGGGTGGGGGCAGAGTGCTGCAGGGGTGGAGGGCTAGCAAGGGTCAGGGACTCAAACTTCAGTTCAAGACGCAGGGATTTTTATTCAGAAACTATACTGTCCCTAGCCGTCTGTGTTTGCATCACAAGTTGACTTTCTAGGAATGTTTTTTTGCAAAGTAAGATTAGTTTATCAGAATAATGCATAATGATTTCTAAATATGCTAAACTCAGAGCAGTGAGTAAAACAACGAACTCCAGTCTGTAACTTTGTTATTGGCTGCTGCTTCCTCTCTTTGTAACCAATGGTTTAGCAGCTTGACAGACTGCAGTTGCCTAGCAGGCTGGCTGCCCTTGTTGCCAATCCTTCCCTAAGAGGAAGTACTCTGTTGTGATTGTAGCCCGAGGAGTCAGAGACATTTTATTTCACTATGTGGCTTTCTTAGTATACGGAAAATGGGTAGCTGTATCGCCAAAGTATCCTGGTGCAGAGCTATTCCTACTTTTATAAACATTTGAGTTACAATATTTTATAGTTCCTCAAAACTTCCAAGACAGTCCATTTCATCTCTTTAACTATTCTTTGTGCTCTATTTTCTACCAGCAAGAGCCTTTTAAATGCTTCTTATGTTCAGAAAGAACAAAAAGGACCACTGATAACCACACAGGTTAAACAAGATTAATTTGGTTTTAGTTGAAGAGAGAAGTCATAGGACCACAAATATTTTAAATATCTTTTCAGTTGTAATTTTAAGTTTAGATGTTTTATACATTTACATTGTATAAAGGTCAAAACTGTGATATGAGAAGCTCTATGTTAAACCAGTTTTTCACCTTTACTCATAACTATAGGTAACCATTGCCACTGTTGGGGTGTAAACAAACACACACACACTTATTCACGGCTCTAGGTAACCATTGTCATTATATAAACAGATACACTCTTAAACATAACATATATATTTGTTTTCTTGCACATTAGGCAGTATATTGCAAAAAATAAACAACACTTTATTTAATATATCCTGGAGATCACTCTGCATCTGTGAAGAGTACTGTCTTGCTTTCTCCCTGGCTGTTTAAATTTGAAATCACAATCATACAGAGTAATTGGAAGAATACTTTAATGAATAACTCTTGTTTATGACCTGTGTACATTAATTTGATTTGTCTGTGTATATGTACATGTGTATTTGCAAAATACATTGTATTAAAAATTTGAAAGTAAATTTCTGACACCATGATACTCCTAAATATTTCAACATGCATACTCTATGAGAGTATTGTACATAACCACAATTCCATGATTAACATTGGAGTAATTAATGGTAGTATCTTTTTTTTTTTTTTTTTTTCTTGGTTTTTCAAGAGAGGGTTTCTCTGTATAGCCCTGGCTGTCCTGGAACTCACTCTGTAGACCAAGCTGGCCTCAAACTCAGAAATCCGCCTGCCTCTGCCTCCCAAGTGCTGGGATTAAAGGCGTGCGCCACCACTGCCTGGCAGTAGTTTCTTAATATTGTATACATATTTACATTTTCCGAGTTATCACAAAATTTTTATAGTTAACTTTTCAAGCCAAGATCCAAAATTTACTACTTGATTGTTAGTCTAATAGTTCATTTTATTATAGAAAATTCTTCATCTCTATTATTTTTTTTCTCCCAGGGGATTTTGGTAAGTTCACATATTCATGTCATCATTACCCAGATCAATATTTAGAAATGTATATCAATCACTCTATGAAGTTCTCCATGTCCCTCATTGGAAAGAAACTGATGTTCTGATTTTTCAACTCAAGATTATTTTGTGAGCACTGGAACTTCATATTGGAGAGATACTGTAATATTTTATGTCAGGTGTCTTTTGCTGATCATGACTTTGTGATTCACTAATGTTGCATGTTTCAGTGGGTTGTTTCTCTAAATCGTGGAGTATTATTTTCATATATATATATATGACAACATTCTCTTGTTTTAAAATGGCAAATAAAAACTCATATGTTCACAGTGTATGAAGTGGTTGTATTTCCATATCTTTTTGCTATGACCTGACAGAAGCAATTTAAAGAGAAGTCTATTAGGTGCTTTTGTGATATGTGATAAAATACCATGCTCAAAAACAATGTAAGGGTCACAGAGTTTATCTTAGGTTATGGCTTGACAGGGATGGAGTCTTTCATGGTGGCCAAGGCATGGCTACAGTCAAGGATAGCTTGGTGGGAGGAGCAGGAAAATGGCCGATCACATTTTCATTTACAAACATGAAGCAGAGAGAGAAGAGGAAATGGGATGAGCCTGTAACCCCTTGATGTCTGCTCCAGTGATGTACTTCTGGCAAGGTTTCATCTCACGGTTCCACCACCCATCCACTCCTAGGCATTGCCACAATTGGAGGCCAAATATTTAAACACATGAGGTTATAAGGAATGTTATTCTTTCAAACCACCCCAAAAGGTTTGTTTTGGCTCACAGTATCAGGGATATATAAGTCCACCCTGGTGAGTAAGGCAGGGAAGTAGAGGTGGGTTTGCCCATGATACAAGAACTTTCCTTGAGGGCATTTCACATCTTAGCAGATCAAGAAGCAGACAGAAGATGAGAAGCAGTGTCAGACTATAACCTACATCTAATAACCTACATCTGCTTACCAAAACTTGTCTCCAAAAACAACATCGCCAAATGGAAGCCAAGTGTTGAGACACATGAGCAAGTGAGGGAAATTCCTTATTTAAGCCATAACAATTATGTTTTGATATATGTATACTCTATGAAGTGATTAGGTCAAGCAGTTTAACACATCTATCACCTTACATAATTTTGTAATGAGAACATTTAAGATTTTTTTTGTTAGGAAGTTTCAAGTTTACAATACATATTTATTAATTATAATTATCATGATGTGTGCTATATCCCCAGAACGTAATTACCCTGTCTGAAACTTGGTTCCTTTTAACCAATGTCTCTGTATTCGCTTTCGTCACCCCCACATTTCTGGCAGTTAACCAATATTGCTATATTCCCCTCCATCACTCCCAGGTCCCTGACAGCCAGCATTGTGCTTTGTGTTTCTGTGAGTTGATTTTTTTAAAAGATTTTATTTATAAATAAGATCACACAGTGTTGGTCTTTCTATGCCTGGTTTATTACAGTTAGTATAATTCCCTCCAGATTCATGCGTATTTTGCAAAGACTAGGTTTTCCTTCATTTTAATCATGTCTCAAATTGGTTGAATTTAAAAACAATGTTTATCCAGTGATGGACACTTAGGTAGATTCCCTGTCTTGTTGACTGGGAATTATGCTACAGTGAATATGGGTGTGCAAATTTGTCTTCCATATACAGATTTTATTCCTTTGGGGTATTTATCTGGAAGTAGGGATGTATGGTAGTTATAGTTTAGTTATTTGAGGATTCTTCATGCTGTTTTTATTATGGCAGTGTTTTTACATTCCCACCAGCAGCACTGAAGGACTCCTGTTTATCCATATTCTGATCCATAAAAAATATCTTTTCTATTCTGACTCATGTAAAGTAGTATTCTGTTATTTGCACTTTCCTTTGCCACATTTTAAAATTAGGGATTTTTTTATTTGCTGCTGAGTTCTTTTATTCCTTATATATGTTGCTGTTAACTCTTTATTAAATATATGGTTTATACATATTTTTCCATTCCATTAGTTGTCTCTTACTTTGTTTTATTGCTTCCCTTGATATGAACGAACATTCTGAGTTGATCCTGTCCTCTTACTGGTTATTTATTGTATCCGGTTTGAGATTGTCATGGGTAATGCTATGAAGAGAGATTCTTATCAAACTCCCTTGCCCCTCTCTTCTGCTCATGTCTATTGTTTGCTTCAGCCTGTCACTTAGGGGTGACCTGAAGGGAGTGACATGTAGTACTGTGGTTAAGACTGGAGCAAAACACAGAAGACAGGAAAGGACTATCTCACACAGCATTCTGTGTTG